AGTTAGCAGCGCTGTTCCCCACTGACGCCGAGGTGACTGTTGCCGTGACCCGAGACCTTTCCAATTTAATGTTTGCGGCTCCGAGAGAAGCCGGTGGGGCGGAGGGCCATTGGTCGACCCCAGGAGCGGCGAGCAGACTGGTGCTCGCTACCCCGGCTTCTGAGGACCTCCATTCGTCGGTCGCACATGTGCTTGAAGGCTGCATTTGTGTCGTGCTTCGGTAATGTCGCGGAATCGGAGACATATCCGCGCTGCCGTCAAATAGGGACGGAAAACTTGACGAGAGCAAGGTTTGAGAAAGATCGTATTGATTCTCGTGGTAGGTTTCTGGAATCTCAGGCTCCATCCAGTGTTGAACGTCGTCTCTGGTCTCATTTGTGCGATACCCTGACATCATCACCATGTCGAGAAGGTCGTCCAATTCTGACGGCAGAACGGTTCTCGAGCTGACATTGGCATTGCAGGTGCTTCGTTCGGCTGTCTCCAGAGCTGGCTCGCTCTCGATTGGGTCAAAGTTTAGGTCGCACGGGATGCTGTCGTCATCAAGAAAAGAAGTCAGGTCACCAAGAAACGCCTCATCATCTTCCATAAACAGAGCGCTCTCGTCAGCATGAATGTCTCTTGAGGGTAGCGTATCGGCCATAGTATTGCAAACCTCCGAAGCTGGAAGAATGCTTGAGGCGGTTGAGGGGTGCAGCGATTCCGAGACGCGGTCGCTGTGCTCCTGTGAGCTAGTTTCAGTCGGCAGCTCAGGGCAGGCGCTCTCAGGAGCTGATGTGCTTCTGCCTTCCATTGTTTTCGAACAGCTTACTCTGGCTTTGCGCAGCAATTGTGAGGATTTGGCCGTATAACTGAAATAAACACAGCACAATTAGCAAGAAAATTAACTCTTCTGGCCCCATTGGGGGGTCAATATGGCCCCCTGTGTTTTTTCCTGAATAACATGAAAACAGCGGCGCGCAGCGCCGTCAAATTTTCAGTACCTTCCCGGCATCAATTTGACACCTTCACACAAAATTTTAAGTCTTAGGTCAGGAGTTATTGAAGTCAAACTGAAGTCATGTTCGAGCAAAAATGAGCAAAAAACATGAAATCTTGAAACGCTCACCAGCAGCATGACTAAACATGTTTTTCATGGTTCCCCTAGAAAGGCATGCCTTCGTAGTTATATATAGTGTGCCTAATGTTTTTTATCTAAGGAACTGAACGAACAGATTTTCGACCAGTATTTCTAAAAAGTAGAGCGCATAGTCAATAACATGAGGGATAAAAAGGGATGACTTTCCTAAAATGTTAACAACAAATGAATGAGAGAAAAGGCACACAAAATTAAATCAACACGGAGATCAATGACGGGATGTCAATAAAATTAAGTGCATTAAAACATTGGGCAGTTGACGCAGTTGTGACTGCGGCAGGCGTGTCAAACCGCGATTAAGAAAATAGAGACCGAAAAACAGCGACGGGAAAACAGCGACATACAAAAGCGACAGTGTCTATAGCGACTCCCAGAACAGCGACACGCGGACTTTAGTGATTCTTTAAAAAGGGCGACGGGCTATAGAGCGACGGGCGACGGCGTAAAGTAGCGACTGTCGGTATATTTCTTTATAGCGGAACAGCGACGTGTTGCAAAGCGATCGCGGAAAATTTCGAATATCATTCAGGTTCAGGTATTCTTTTGGGAGGCATTCTGGACACTTTGGCATGTTTTTAGCATCATGCAACAAAAATAATCAAGGTCGGGCTTGGGTCAGGCTGGGTCAGGCATCTTGGGTCAGGCGACGTTCGAATTATTTTTTACCATTTACGTTTGGACGTCTTTCTCGTTTGTTAGGTAATTTATAAGTTAAAAATCAATAGTAATGAAAACTTCAGTTAGTATTAAGGGTAAAGACCAGAAGGAACAGGCGTTACAAGAGTTTAATTTGACACAAATCAGAGGAGATAGGGGCATAACACGGCGCTTAAAAATACCTTATACTTAACAAGCGCTTAGCGCGGGTCATTCAAAATAGGCATGCATATAGAACATTGGATTATCTTAGCGCAATAGGAGGGAACTTAGAATTAAATATAAATTAGGAAGAGGACGTTGCATTACCCTTGCCGAGCTTCTAGCATGTTACCTTGTTCTTGCCTGGGTCTATAAATCGAACGTATCGAAACGAACGAAATCAATCGAATCCTGAACCGAACTATCGTAACATGGAAATCGAACGAATCGAAATGAACTGCACGATAAATACACATTCAACGCACTTATGACATTTCTCGCTATTTTACACTATAGTCGCTATATCACACGGTCGCCCTATAACCCGTCGCCCTTTTGAGGAATCGCTCAAATCCGTGTGTCGCTGTTCTGAGAGTCGCTATAGACACTGTCGCTATTAGTATGTCGCTGTTTTCCCGTCGCTGTTTTTCGGTCGCTGTTTTCTGTGTCGCGGTTTGACACGCACACGTGTGACTGCACGTCCAATCGTAACACGTCGAGGTGTTGTGTGTGAGGGGGGAGCTGCGTTGGCAATTGGCATCGTGGCCTCTTACTGGCCCCGGCTTTATATTCTCCGAGTGAGTTAGCCCCGTCCAGCGTTTAGCCTTTTATGGCCCGCTCAGGTCCGCGGCTGTTTTCGCCGCTCCCCAGTCGAGATAAGTTAATAATCATGCGAAGCTTACTTAGGACCTCTGAATACACGGCTACGAAATTAATCGATTTCAAAAGCCCTTTTCTTTCTTTCATCTATATGCAAACATTTCCAATGATTCGGGGCTATGCTGCTTTGGCTGGCCCTAAATTTTAAGCTTCGTTATACTTTGCATCTCGACTGGTGCGAGTGGCAAAACACAACCGTGGCCCCGAGTGGGTCCTGAAAGGCTAAACGCTGGACAGGGCTATCACACCCGGAGAATAAAACGCCGGGACCAGAAAGGAGCCTCAATTCCAACGCTGGCGGGAGGGGTTGCGCCAACTTCAGTCCATAACTCAGCTTCTGGGTCGCGTGGCAAAGAAAAAAAGACTTGAAAATTAGATTCTATGTCAGGGTTATGACCTGACTGGAAACGGTAACTTGGGTTTCAATCAGCTCGCGTTATTCGTGCGAGCATATATAAGTCGATAAGTCGTTTTCATCGCCTCAATATATGTCTGTTATGAGTTATTGTTGAAAAATTGTTGGTGACTTTTTTACCAACTAGCACGATCCAAAAGTAAAGGGTAGGGAAAGGGTCAAGGTGCGATTTCCCCAATTCCGTATTCAGTGTTCATCTGTAGAAAGACAACTATGAGCATCACGAATGTCATTTTTCCGAAAGAACATTCAAAATTTTTAACCATTGACCTTCCGATAAGACATTATAATTGACTTCAAGTTAGATAAAGGTCACTGATGTAAGAAGTCCTAGAAATTTGTTTTACGTAGCATGCAATCATTATCGATCACAGAAAGTGTTCACTGTTCAAGCAATCATTTGAACAGGCGGTGTAAATGGGGCCGGAGCATTTACTCGTCTTGAGGTGCCATTCACCTACCGTAATTTGGCGACCTTAGAGAACACTGATATGATACGGAGTCGTAATGTTCAACATTGCGGAGAGATCCATCCACACGGTGCGCTCTTTTGATATTCGCGAGAAAAGGAGATGAATGAGTTTTCCGAAAATTTGAAAGGATCAAACAATTTAACCCTCCCCCTTCAACACCATGGCGTGGGTAAAAACTTCTGCTTAGTTCGCTGCAGTTTGATCAGAGGTGCAATAAAAAGATTAAGATTAGGGATACAGGACACGCGTTTCGTTCAGTTATCTTATCCAAAAAGTTTATGCTCCTCTTTGTATTTATATTTTCCCACCTAGTTCTTGATTTGATATGTCTTTGATATAGGACCAGGTCAACAAGAACGTTACCTCACTTTTTAAGAAGTTGGATTTTTAAAACTGTCGGTGGATGAAGTTAGGTTTTTAAGTTCTGAACCATCTAGCTGAGTAAATATCGACATCTGTCGCCTGATCACCCACCAACACCTATCGCCACACCTGTCACAATGACACCAACACAACGGCTACTTACCAGCTTTTAGTGAGATTCACACGCAGCGGCACCGCACAACCCACCGGCTGCCGGCCGTCCCGGCGCGCTGCTGTGGAGTCGGTCGCCGTCGGCCGCCGAAGGGCGACCGGTCAAGGTCAGCTCAGCTGACGGCGGCACTGGCGGATTGGTCGTGCGGCCGGAGGGCGGCGCTTGCTATGAATTCCTGTCACGCGACCCGCTTCTGCTGCCACCGATAGAGCGTACCGCACACTTCATGACAAGCATCGACGCTAATAGTCAAGTCTGACTGATGCGTCGTTAAATAACCAAGAAAACAAACATCATGACAAGCCTTCTTGTTTTTAAACGGATATGCGTTCATAAGCGACAGATTAAACATTATTGAAAAACGAGAGACGAATGACGAATTCTAAAAAACGATTTAATTATTTGAGTAGCGCGTATGATGTGTGTTTGGTTACGCATGCGTGCAATGTGTAGCATGCATTATGCAATGCACATACCTGCCTATCAGATATAAAATAGAAAAAAGGACTGAAAAAGAGGGAAGAAGACCCGACACTGAAACTTGCTAATGTGACTAAATATAGGTAAATTAGAAGGTAAATGTAGCTACCTGAAAAACACGGGCGGTCCATAAAAATGCAAAAATCGCTTCAAGCTAGAGAGGCATACTGCTAAAAAATTGTTGCAATGAAAAACTAATGTGTCACTTCTTTGTGCGATCTTAACGTACTTAATCAAAAGAACACTTTTTCAATCAAATATTAAAGTTCCTTAGTTTCCTTTCCAAGCAACGAATTAGTTTTCCTTTCAAGCGACCAAATTATACCTATAATTTCAGAAGCTGAGGGAGGAACCATTACCGAGAGCAGTCACTCATGCTGTCACGCGAGTCATGATTTGGTAATTAAAGCAACAAATATGTCGCAAATGTCTCACCAAAGGTAACAAAAAACAATTATATTTTGACAATAGAACTCAGTGCGTCAAACGGTGTTTAAACACTTAGCATTGTTCTGAACGGTTGCACGCACCTTCACTGCGATCGGCCCGCCCTTGACACCGACTGTTTTGAGGTTTCGGCGCCAGTTTCCGTTTTCCCCGTCGGCCGCTGCTCTGGATGCCCCTGGCCGCCGCCAGCTGCCGTCTCCTCTCCCTGGGGTCGCGTGCCCAGTGCACGCCCGGGAACACGGTGAAGCGCACCTTGCCGAACCGGGTCACCTGACGCGAGTGGCCCAGCACCGGAGAGTCCATGTGAGGGTACGCCAGGTGACGGTTGGAGAACAGCAGGTCGGGGCCGTCCAGGAAGGGCTTGCAGAAGGCCTGCGGCACGTCCAACTGGTCCATGTCTTCGTCACTGTCCGGTGAGAGATCACTGAGGTCGTCCGCGTCTGGATCGCCATCCTCAGCCGTGTTTGTCGGAGAAGAAAGATCGCGGGGCCTCTCAGCGGGGTCGCTGGGCTGGCGGCTCGGGTCACCGAGTGGGGCTCTCATCTGGCCAGGTGCTGGCCTGGAGACTAGGACGGCAGATGGCTGGCCAGTGGACAAGAGAGGGGATGTATCACGCAGCCCAGTAGCTGACTCGGACTGGACGGTGGTTGGTGAACAGAGCCCTGCTGGGCCCAGGAGTCGCACGCAGCCAGGATTGGAGGTCGCACCCGTGGGAGAGCTCTGCCTCGCGCTCTGCTGCGACCAAAACGTCCCCTCCAGCGCCAGTGGAGACACCGGAGTAGCCGTCTGTGCCCCAAACGATGGGCAGGGAGACCTCCACTCGGGTCGGCGACGGCCGGGACTGCGCCAGGTCGTCGACGACAGAGGACTGGCCACGACCAAGTGGCCGGCCGGCTCCAGCAGTGCCAGCGGCGACTGTACGATTTGAGGCGACGAGCGGAGGCCGAGCGCCTCGGCCGGTCCGCTCTGGGACGGCCGCAGCAGCGTCGAGCTCGCCACCGAGCTGGAGGACCGCTCCCGATAAGCCGCTCCGTCGTGTTCCGGTGTTCGCTCTGTCCAGTCGCGCAGCAGACAGCTCAGGTCGGGCGATCCGATCTCAGTAGAGCCGTAGAGTGCGCCTCTTGCCTCGTTTGGTGGACTGGCCGCTTTTGCTGGCGGCATCATCGCGCAGTCGATGGGCTCGAAGTCCGGGTGGCACGGTGTTCCCATGCGGCTGCTGGTTGGTGTTCCCAGTCCGCACCTGCTGGGTGTGTTTGGAGTGCACATGCCAGAGCCACTCGGAGTTCGGACATTCTCGCCGTGGAATAAACTGCGCGGTGAGAAAATACTGGCGAGCAGCGTCTTGCCAGGAGAATCCAAAAACATGCATGCGTTGTTGGATGTGGAAACGTTCGTTTGACGAGAATCATTTCCTTCAGCAAGAAAGCCGGTATCGGAGACGTCCATATCCATCGTCATCTGCTCCTCTTCGCCAAGCTGTCTTCAGAGGGTGATACTTATCTTGAAATCATACGAGTTCACATGTAATGTTTCGTTATCACCCGTATACATACAAAGATGCTCCATTCGCAAGATCCAAGGCAATTGTGAATGTTTGTTTCCAACCACTACCATTTTTAGTGTAAGGAGCACTCTTGGAAAAGCATTCTTTCATAAATGAGACATAGCTCATTGCAAATGACTTCTTACACCCAGCATCCGTAGAAATGGCTTACTACCATCAGGACCTGTAACAAGAGTAAGAGTAGGTTGTTCATCTTCGAATGTCACACGCACGGGGTTCGGTAGCCAACGCATATCTATTGTGAACTACATATGATATAAGCGAAAGGTACTTATCATTTAGTCTACGATGGAATGAATATGGACACCCCAGAATAATCAAGAAAAGTATATTCCCTCCTCGTTTCTTCTTTTAAAAGCACGGGGCAGTATGAAAAAGATTTTATGCGACCTCCGTCCGGTCCACTTCCGTCGGATGATGGGATGAAGAGCCTACCTACATGCTTCATATGCCACAGTACAGTGACTGAAGTTCCAGGTCAGAGTTTCCAGGTAGCGCTTCGCCAACCTACAGTTCATTGACCTCTTCAGGAACGTCAACCAAAAATTAGGCGCTCAAACTATTCACGTGACAGCATGAATAATTTACTTTTGCTTCGATTGAGAATAATAGGTAACTGGCACGGAACATATGAAAAACTAGAAGAGAATGAGGGAAGACTGCGCGACGAATTGAATTGCCTAACAAAAACAAAACAAAAATATGTCGTTCAGGTCCAGCCCAGATTCAGCACAGAGTCAGCGGACCTCGAATTGTCTTACACGTCAGAGTTCTAAGGGGCTATGGCTGAAACAATATACGTTGCCCAAACCATTCGTCAGTTGGCGCTTCCAACCGTTTAACCCTCGCCGGACCTATTGGTTTTCTACATACGCGCCGGCCGAGAGGGGGGGGGGGGTACGACCCCCTCTCGCCGTTTCGCCCCTGGTGGAGCTAGCGCGTCGCGGAAAAAACGAGCGTGTGCGCCGTTACGAGACGCAGAGATTGGTACCCGATTTTAAGGTCCTAGGTCAACCGGTGACCTCTAAGGTCAGGTCAAGTGCCCTAAGGTACGGTTCAGTTTTTGGCGAATAACTTCGCAACAAACGGTCGCAGAGCCGCGATTTTGGCAGCATCGTGTTCGCCTCTTTCAGGCGCGTCGAATGATATACTTTTTGTTCGGGTCAGGTCAACTTAGGGTGTTGACCTCAGGTCAAGGTCAGGTCAGCACCCTTAGGTCACGAAGCTGGTCGAAAGAGGTCATATCGCATAGCATTCGATTCGGCAGGTCTTCCTGAGTCCATTGGTGGCTTTACCCACTCGCTAGCTCAATTTGATCCAGAGTTATTGACGAAAAACTAATATGACCTTGATGACGTCATAAATGACGTCACGCAAGGTCAACATTGCAAAAGTGACGCATCTAACCTTGCAAGGAGTGCATCAAATCACGATTATATGTGCTTGAGCTAGTTGGAGATCGTTCCCGGCGCCAGAATACCAGTTTTCATTTTTCCCCATTGACTTAGGTACCGGGAAACGGTAGTGGTGAGGTCACGAAAATGGCCTGACCTCATATAACCTTTAGGAAAAATCCGAGATATACAAAATGTGAGACTCATAATGGATACTAGATCCTGCAAGTTTCATTTCCCTGTGACATCTCCTCTGGAAGTGAGGGCGTTGTGAAATTGCGACATCTGAAGACCTTGCAGAGGTTCACTTATGACGTCATAGGTCAGTGACCTGACCTGACCCAAAAATGCGGTTGGTGTCAAAAGATTCGGCTTGAATCAAAGGTCAGGTATGCCAAGTTTCAGCTCTCTATCGCCAGCGTGTTCGGAGCTATCGCGAAAAAAACCCTATGGGGGGCGGCACCCGCCCCCCCCCCCCTCGGCCGGCGAGGGTTAATCTTGGGAGGTCAACAAGTCACGCGTGCCCTAAATTTGCACAGCAGTTTGTAGCCAAAGTGGAGCGAGAACGTTGAAAATGACTCCAAATGACTCGATCCGTCCTGAGTCCATTGTCAATTTTTCTCTATGGGGTCATAGGATAACCTATTATAGGGTCATTTCCGGGTCATACAAAAATATTGCAATCGAATATTTCCTATCGAAAACGCATCATTCAACATCCAATAGACCGTACGCGAAAATTACCACTGAAATCGTTCTATATCGTAAAACGCTGTGTCGTGCCGAGTGCCTACCTTGTTCACCGGGACGACACGGACCGGTCCGCTGAAGTCCAGTTAACAACTGACTGGGAGTGTCTGTGTGCTATTTTGCGCCTACCCGGTGTGGGAACACTTGGGTCAATATTGTCCCAGCCGAAACCTGTTGATTTGTCTGATAAATCTACCTTCCGCCCGGACCCGCGCTACACCGCCGCTCGCCGCTCGCTCGTCGGTTAGGACAGCAGCAGGGCGGTATGATGCTTGGCACGGAATACCAACGATTTCATAATACGTGGATATGGGGAGTCTCGTGTGCCCTTCAGCCACCCTCTGCATAGTTTTGCGATCCACAACAAAGTCCAGTGCTAAGCTAATGCTTACTTTTCACTGGTACAGCAGTGAGAAACCGTTTTAAATCGCTAACATTCGCCATCCTATATTTATTTTTGTGTAGAACGTATGTACGAATCCGCATGATACGATTGATATTGCATTTTAAATACTTCTGAAAATAACCAAAGGTTTGTTGTCAATAGTTAAAACACTATTCTTTAGAATTGTGTTTTTCTATTGAAAAACAAATCTGAGTTCCCTGACAATTTGGCAAAAGTAAGGATAGTCCGTAATTGCTCTGCTCGATAAAATCTATAGCACTTAGGTATGTACCCAGTTACGTACTGGTCAGTGTAACGTCACAGGTTCTCTGATATAATATGGGAAGTGTCGTGCTTTGGTAGTAAAAGGACACTAACGGTTAAATGTTCGGCTCCTGATGTGAAATTTTCGGGGGTAAGAACCCTTTTTGAGCTCGAAATTATGTCTTCATAAGTCTACAAGCTTAACCTTCCAGGCGGTGGGGGGGGGGACATTTTTTTTTGCCCCCGGCCATTAGTTTTTTCGATATATCTCGAGAACCGCTGCGCTGATCGTATCCTCCCGGGAGTAGCTAGCGCACATGGTGACCAAAAATTTTCCAAAGGCTATGATAGGTTGGCCGCTAATGACGTCAGAGTGACGTCATTCCTGCCATTTTTGACCAAAAAAGGTTTCGCGGGAAGAGCTGTCAGGCCTACAACTTTAGAGATACAGAAAAATGTTTCAGACATACAAGGTGTGGAATCAAAACGGCTACAAAACTGCTATTTCGGTTTTTCGAATTTTTTGGATTTTGACCCCCAAAAATCAAAAAATAGATTTTTTGAATATAATAGCCGAAAAATCCAAAAAGTTTTTTGAATTTCGAAAAACCGGAATATATGTGATAGTCCCTACCGCCTTCTATTTACATACCAAATTTGAGATCGATACCTACCTCTTTTTTGGCCAAGTTATAGCGAAAAAACTGTTCAAAATTGATGACGTCAAATTTTCAAACTCACTTTTTAGCAATTCTAGACCTCGTACGCGCAAAATAAAGACCACCATTAGACTCCCCGTGACGAGCTGCATCGAATCAATACCCATTTTATGCAAAAATATCAACTTTGAAATTTGACCTTTTTTTACCTGACCTCCACCAGAAAGTGACCTAAAACGTACCTGATGGTCTTATAACCAACATCATTGAGTTGGAAATGAAAAACTGGCCATAAAACATGCATCGCATAACCTTAGTAAAGTTGGGCTCATGTGGTGACCCTTGGTGACCTTTGGTGACCTGACCTGTGACCTGACCTGGTATGACCAGTGACCTCTAATAGCAACATATGTACTAGACAACTGACGCCTTATCGCTGATTTTCGACAAAAAGCGTTTTACTCGGTGTTATAGCGCTTTCCCTAGAAGCCCCGTGAACGGTGAAACATTTTATCTTTGACCTGACCTGTGACGTCATCGGTGACCCCGAGGTCAATGAAATTTGGTTTCCTTCGACAAATTTGACAGGGCTATCGAACGCCGTTTGAGTTTTCCAGATCCGTCCAGTAGTTTCGGAGATAAGGGGGGGGGGGCAAAAAAATGCCCCCCCCCCACCGCGCGGAAGGTGGCCGGGAGGCCCACCGCCTGCCGGGTTAAACATTTGAACTAGCATATCGACAAACGCCCAGTACCAAACTAAAACAGCGATCGTTGTTATATGTTCAATTGACTTCAAGCTTCTAAAATGTTAGACAGTTTTTCGAAACATTTAATAATCCACGCTAAGTACTTACTGTGGGATCCAATGGCGCATTTACTTGGCATCACAGCCTCCGGGTATTAGGTACGAGTCAATACTATGAAACACATGCTTCTCAGCGTGCATTAAATTTATCTCAGCACAAGCTCAATGCTAGGTCATTGAGATCTCACATGTCAGTGCATCCTATCTGCGGGTTTGTAACCCTGTTGAGGATACGTCACATGGACAGGCCCGGTAAAGTGCATCGCATGACCGTAGGAAGCCTAAGTGCGTCGTACTCGTTCACAATTTTTTGTCGTGCACGTTCAAAATGGTCGCGACTTTTGTCGTTACTAATGATAAATTTAGGAGCACATTTAAGATCATTATAAACTCAGGGGTTAAATGTTCCCCTATCTTACTCAATGATTACACAGTTAAATGCACATATGCTGAGGTATTATGTCGGATCTCTTTTCAGAAGTGTGGTCTAAAATGTTTAACATCTCTCGGCCTCGAACCCCATCCTTAACCCGCGCCGTGCTGGGGGGGGGCGTTTTTACGCCCCCCCCCCCTCAGGTTTTTCGCAAATATCTCAAAAACGGCGGCGCGCAGCGCCGCCGTTTTTGGTACACGTGTTCCTACATCATTTCCGCACATGTTGTGAAAATTTCAGACCTAGGCCGTTCAAGGTCAGGTCACCAGGTCACGTCAAGTGACCTTACCTCAGAAAAAGTTCAAAGGCTCGCTATAGCTACACCGACTGAACGATCACTTTGAAACTTTCAGCGATTGATATGAGTAACAGTATGTATAAAATGTATATCTCGGATTTTTGATATCTGTGACCTAAGGTCAGGTCAATTTTGCGACCTCTCCATTATAAGTCAATGGGAGAAAATTGAAATGCGCCTCTTTTGGACGAATATCGTTCAAAACGCTCTCAAACATCGGTTCATAGGTAAACATGACACACTGAATAGGAAAAATGCACCTGTGACCCCTCTGTGTGCCCCTGAGGTCATCTCAGGTCATGAACGGTCGCCAGCAGTTTTTTGGCTATAACTTTTGATAGAGACGTGCTAGAGCGGTGAAAACACGTCAGATGTGTTCAGCTCGACGATACGGATCGACTGATATGCAACATGACCCTTTTCGGTCAGGTCATGACCTTGACCTGAGGTCAAATTTTCAAAATGACCTTTCAAGGTCAACGAATAGTTCATTCGACGCGTCTCGACGAGAGAAACACGATGCTGGCAAAAGTAATGTCATGGCGCTTATGAGTCAAAAGTTATTGACGAAAAAACGTTTTTCGTAAAAACGGCTATTTTTGGAGTTTTTGCCCTCTGGAGGCTAAACCGTTGACCTGAGGTCAAATCTGAGGACATTACTCAGAAAGGTCTGTAAAAGGGCTATCGAATGCGCTTTTCCGCGGCGCTGTAGC